AGTTTCAAAAGATTTAAAGATTCACTTTCACATTTTTCATTTCGAAAAACAAATGAATTTCTGTTCAAATATTCATTATTAGCACCAAATTCTTCGAAATGCAGATCATTTCAAAGAATGAGTGAAATTTCACAAATGTGTGTAAAGATTCGAGATCTTTGTTACCGATTACACTATATTCAATCAATCAACTAATAAAAAGAGAAATTCCTGGGAAACAAAAAATGCAGCGATTGTATATTTGACGGAATCAAAAGCGAAGGAGAAAGAGAAAGGGGACCTGAATGCAGCGATCGCATGTGAATGGTAAGAAATCGATTTGTTTGCAATAATCGACGGAGCAGTGTTTTCCCAGATCTGGAAATTCCGGTGTCCCCATTGAGACCGAGATTCCGAGGATACAGAACAATTCCGATCCGACAAAAATCGATAGAACAAAATTAAAAAAAAAAATGAATAATATGAAATTAATTAAATCTAGTTTTCCGGCGAGAGAGATTCCGGGAAACAAAAAAAAAATTCCCAGATTCCGAGAATTTAGATGAACAAAAAATTCGCAGAAACCGGGAAGAAAGTTGTAAAAGGAAGAAGGTCAACGACGACGTGATCCCATCTTCTTATTTTCCTCTATTCAAAGTCAATTTTTTTCTTTGACTTTTCTTATTACCAAAATTCAGTTTCTTAAAATTCTTATCACCAACCAATTAAAACTCAGACTGGGCTTATCAAGGCTTTTACAACATTTCAAAATTGGGCTCTCCATTAATCAAAGTCTTTTGCAAATTTGTTTCAAAATATATATACAAGTTGTTTTAGCGAAAAAAAAAAAAACTATTTTTAGTAGAAAAGTATCATTTAATATATTTAATAAAAATAATTTGACCAACCTCACAAAAAACTGCAAAATACTAGTGGTCATACAATATTCAATAAAGTTAAAAAGTACTTAGATTGTCAAAACAATTTACATTTTGAAACAAAAATACTACCAAAACAACTTATATTTTGAAAAGGAGGGAATAAGAAAATTCGTTCGACCAAAAAAAAAAATGGTATGATTGCATTTGAAAGTTTCATACAAACATCTAGATCACTAAAAAAAACATTACTATAATCATATGATCAAAAAATAAAACCAAATTTTTAAAAACACTAATTCCAAAGACACAGAAGCACATGTGATGCAACTCAATGTTCCAACAAAAAATTTGACTTAAGCTTTGATAATACTGGTCTTATGCAAGAAGATGAGAGTTGGTATTAGTGACTTAAGTTTGCTCTTCAATTTCGGTGATGACCTTGGCGCTGGTAGACTTAGCAGCCAAGATATCAGTATACTCTTGGAATGGTGATTTCACGAATCTCGTCTCTTTCCAGAATTCGGGCGTAAGGAATCCGTAAGTCTTCTGAAGACAGTCGAAGGTCGCCTGAGCAAAACAAAGATAGATTACATTCGTGAGAATCCGATTAAACAACAGTTGAAATGTAGGATAATCAAATCAAAACTTTGCACTCGTATAAGTAAAGTAACTTGCGAGCATTTAGATTCAAATCGACTTTGAGAAATGTTCTACATAAACTATCAATAAAGTAACTTGAGAGCATTAGGATTCAAGCAACTTTGAGGAATCCACTACACAAACTATCGATATAAACCACCTTTGGATACAACCAATGTTCATCAAACCAATTACATTCCGCAAAATTCTAATCTCCAATATGAATTCACTAAATTGGTTCTTAATGATACCAATACCCAACACAATCAATTGCTAATTAACTACCTAAATTTCATAGTTTCAGCAAAAATTACTAACGAATCCATCAAAACCAAAACAGTGAAGAAAATTGCATACCTTGACAAAGTTTCCAAGGGTTTTGGTAGATCCTCTGGAAGAAGTAAAAACATCATCAATTCCAGCAAACTGTAAAACCTTCTTAGGAACCCTAGCCGCCACAATACCAGAACCTCTCGGAGCCGGAACCATCCTCACAGTAACAGAACCACATTTTCCGGTCACTTTACAAGGAACAGTATGTGGCTTACCAATCTTATTACCCCAATAACCTCTTCTAATCGGAATCACAGACAATTTCGCTAGAATAATCCCACCTCTAATCGCCGTCGCAACTTCCTTAGAACATTTCACTCCCAATCCGACGTGACCGTTACTGTCTCCGACTACAACAAACGCCTTGAATCTCGTTCTCTGACCGGCTCTGGTTTGTTTCTGAACCGGCATGATTTTCATCACTTCGTCCTTCAAAGTAGGACCGACGAGTAGATCGATGATTTGGTATTCCTTGACTGGGAGAGAATGGAGGTAGATCTCCTCAAGCTGATTGATCTTACCTTCTTTTACGAGACGACCAAGCTTAGTCACTGGTACCCATTTCTCCTCTTCCGGAGCACCACGACCTCCACGGCGACCACGGCCTCGACGACCTCCTCTTCCACCACCGCGACCGCCGGCGAATCCACTACCAAAACCGCCGCGTTCTCCACCACGTTCTACACCGCGTTCACCTCCACGTTCCGCCATTGTCGATTTTGCGTAGAGGAGGTAGAGAACTGACGCGGCGTGCGTTTCGATGTGTTCTTGAGTAAACCCTAATGGCGGCAAAATTATTCCACATATAGCTCCAGACAAAAACGGATTAGGGTTTCTTATGTAAATTGAGCTTGTTGGGTTTATAAGCCCAATATTAAAGCAGGCCCAACATATGAAATTGTGCAATGGTCCA